CCCCCCCCCCCCCACCCTTTATCTCAAGGTCTGGATCCGACACTGCCTACGCCACACGGACGGAACTAAACTTAGTCTGCGACGCTTTTTTCTTTGCAAGGTACTCGTAACCCCTTTAAGCCGCCAGCCACCAGCCGCGTCCTTTCTCGTACCGTCCTAATCTCGTATTGTAACATTTTTATTTGCAATCGCGCTGGCTGGGATAAGAACAGAGGAACTGGGCGGATTTTAAGAGGAACGGAGGACTGCAAGCAGTCTACTGTGACGCAGGCTGGGGAGTATGGACTGCGGACCGGGTATAAAAGGCAGATTGGATATTAAACACCTTGACTAGAAACAACGATAAGACACGGGCGAGGCATACTGATACGTTGGCTATGGATCGTGTTTTACCTGGGTTTTAAAATCAGCTCTCCAAAACAAAAAAATGAGATACCGTAATGATTCGATTTAGCGCCCGGGGCGCTTATTTACTTTTGGTGCCTCAACGGAGGGCGCTTATTCGGGACAGGGCGATTATTTCTTTTTTGAGAAGCAACCGAATGTTCAAAAGAAACTTTAATATTTATTTAAAAATGAACAATAACAGAAACTGTAACAGTAACAAATACTGAGCGTGAATGTTCAGTTAACATGAGGGACTTACCTTGAAGCTGATAACAAAGTTTTTGGGCATGTGTCGATGGAACTTTCCTTCCTTATATTCACCTTCTTAAAAACGCCCGCAGTGAGAACAAAGTGCAAGTCAAGGTGACTGGATCAAGGGGACTGGAAAACGGACTTGTTGTCCCTGGATCCTTCCTCGCCAGAACGACCAGCCGAGCAATAGCCACAAAATTTGAAGAAGAGATCATTCGTTTGAAGAATTGATGCACCCACATGGACATAAGAACACTGTTTTTGTAATGTGGCATTACTGTTCGTTTGTGAGCAGTTAAAGGAATATGAACCTCGGTTGATACGTACCCGTACTTTAATATAATACTTTAGAATAGGGGCGCTTAGCAGAATGGGGCGCTTATTAACAAAAACACATTCCGGCAAAGGGGGGCGCTTATTGGAAGGAGGGCGCTAAATCGAATCATAACGGTAAACAGATTACGGACTAGCGCAAAGCGGACGTGTCTCGCGGATATAGGAATAAAAGTGATTTCTACAGTTATTGTGCCAAAACAGATAGCTGAAACAAGTATAATTAAATCGTTGATTCGGCGCCTCTCAGCAGTGCTGTAGCTTTTATTGGTTTATAAATACTACAACACATTGGAAGAAAAAACGAAAATATGAAACTTGATAAGGTCACTCACAATCTAGCGTAACGAGCGCGAGCTAAACGTTATTCTTGCCGGCTGA